CAGTGCTTGTCACTTTACTGGCTCTGGGTGGGTCCACATAATACCCACTGCACCCTGAAACGCTCATCTCCTGGGGTCTTCAGACTTGAGCTGGATCTTTCCCCAGACAGGACAGACTCCCTCTTTTCCCAGGATGGCTCTCATCAAAGCACCGTGTGTTTCTTCTTGCCATTGTCCTTCATTCACCCCTCACCACCAGAGTCCATCAGAGCCCAGCAACTCTATCCCTGCCTTCTGAGCTGCCAGAAATGGGCCCACTCCCACCTGTGCTTCCAGGCCCTGGGCCCAGCCACTCCTGAGAGGCCAGGGTACACAAATCTAGGTTACTGCCTGCATCTTGCCAACAGATGAGAGTGAATTTTTACTAAAATAATCCAGAGCAAAGCTGAGGGGCAGCTTGGTACTTTTCTCACTGGTCTTGATGCGGATTCTCATTTGCTTTTCCTAGAGCTAATTGTAGAGACTGAAGTGGGCAGCCCTTCCTGAGTAGAGCGTTCTCGGGGCCATCGCACTGCACAACTCTTGGGGTACCATGTACATTTAGCTGTATGAATGGTGTCCCTCGGAGCTGAGCAGGGCACAGCCTGGCCAGACATGCCTGGGTCACTGTGAGGGATGTCTCACAAGCTACCCAAAGGGAAGAGCAGTAACTGTCCAAGTCTATCGACCTCTGCCCGCCTGAGCCAACCCCATCCTTCTTAATAGGAAACCAAGGCATTCCAGGGGCTCCTGCTACCCTAGAACAAACTCTGGAACAGGTTTGCATCCAAATGCCCATTGCTGCACCCTCCCATCCGGGGAGGGGGGCGGTCTTTCCTAGGACTGCTCTCACCCTCACCATGCTGTCCACTGCCAAGCACACCTTCCTATTTGAAGCCAGTTCATCAATGAAAAGGGTTTATTATAAAAGGTGGAGGTGGGGAGAATGGCAGAGGAAGTAAAGAAAGAAATCTGGGCAGAAAATGCCAGAAGAGGAAGCATAAGGAAGATAATCTAGCAGGATTATCTGTCTCCTTCCACACATTCATTTAATCCACAGTGATGCTGTGTGGGATCATCAACATGGGTCCCACTTTACAGATGAGAAAGCCTAGGGCATAGGGGTTTAAGTCACTTGCCAAGGACACACAAAGAGGAAGTGGCAGGCCCAGGCTGGGCATGGAGGGTGGGAGTCCAGAGACAGGTTGAGGCAGTGGCGGGTCTGGACTGAGCAGAGGCTCCCTGAGACTGTGCCCGCCCCCCTCCCCTCAGCTGAACAGCTTACCGTGGTGGGCAAGATTTCCTTCAACCCCAAGGATGTGCTGGGCCGCGGGGCAGGCGGGACGTTCGTTTTCCGGTGAGTAGGTAGCCAGAAGCTGGGCTGGAGATGTGGCTTTCACGGCACTTTGGGCCGCTGTCCTTCGGGGGGCCATTCTTCAAAGGCTCGCCGAGGCGGGTGCAGGAAGGAACTTTTTCCATCGTCTTCCCTCTCTGAACCACACCCCCTCAGGGGCCAGTTGGAGGGGCGGGCAGTGGCTGTGAAGCGGCTGCTCCGTGAATGCTTCGGCCTGGTCCGGAGGGAGGTCCAGCTGCTGCAGGAGTCAGACAGGCACCCCAATGTGCTCCGCTACTTTTGCACCGAGCAGGCACCCCAGTTCCACTATATAGCCCTGGAGCTCTGCCAGGCCTCCTTGCAAGAGGTGAGCCAGAGCTCAGAGGGGCAGTGGGGTGGTGGTGGGGGTCCCAGGTTGCACAGTGACACTGTCCCCCACCTCTTCAGTACGTGGAAAACCCAGAGCTGGAGCGCTGGGGCCTGGAGCCCTCCATGGCGCTGCAGCAGCTGATGTGTGGCCTGGCGCACCTGCATTCCTTACACATAGGTAGTATCCGGCCCCGCCCTCCGCTCCAGCCCCCACTCCCCCCCCACCCCAGCCCCGCCTTCCCCATTCCCCACCGCTGCACTCAGCTCTGCTCTGCTCTCAGTGCACCGGGACCTGAAGCCAGCCAACGTCCTTATCGCGGGACCTGATGGCCCTGACGGCCAAGGCAGGGTGGTGCTCTCAGACTTCGGCCTCTGCAAGAAGCTGCCTGCTGGCCGCTGCAGCTTCAGCCTCTGCTCGGGCATCCCCGGCACGGAAGGCTGGATGGCGCCCGAGCTCCTACAGCTCCTGCCCTCTGACAGTCCTGTGAGTCCTTCCCTGGCCCAGTGCCTCTCCTGCTGTGGCCAAGCCTGTTTCTTCATCTTTAAAGTGGCATAGTTCATCCCTTCTTACCTAGAGCAGTGGCTCTCAACCTGGGACTATTACACTGCCCAGGGGACACTGGGCACTGTCTAGAGACATTTTTGGTCGTCACAGCTAGCAGGGGAATCGGGGTTTGCAACCGGCATCTGGTGGGTAGAGGCCTGGGATGCTGCTAAACATCCTACAACGCACAGGACAGCCCCCCATGACAATAATCCGGCCCCAAATGTCAATAGTACCAGGGTTACAAAATCCTGACCTAGAAAAGGGTTTTCAATCTGCACTGTGCTGCAGAATCACTGGCAAACTTGAGAGTCAGATGCCCAGGCCCCACATCCAGTGATTCTGACCAGACTAGCCCAGAGCCGGGCTCCAGTGATTCTAATATGTAGCCAGGGAGAATCACGGATGTAGAGGGTTTAGGGAGCACCAGAGGATCGAATATAGTTGAAGCCCAGAGCAGGGTCTGACCCCCAGAGACACTTGAGTCTGAGACCCCAGGATTATGGATTTGAGTTGTCAGTGTGTGGGTGGAAGATGAAGTCATGTGCACAGATGAGAGTAATAGGAAAGGTCAGTCGCTAGGCAAAGCCATGCCTAAATCAAGAGAAAGCAGGAAGTGGCCACCCGGAGGCGCAAGGACTAAAGGATCTGATGTTATGAGATTGGACAGATTTTAATTAGTAGCCAGCATTTTAACTTTTGGGAAATTTCACATAGCAACCTTGATTTCTGGATCCTCTTGGAAAATCAAAGCTCTGCCACCCAGGAGAGTCCCCTGGAGATCATACGGTCTCACTGCCGCTTCAGTCCCTCCAGCCCGGCCGGCCTCACTCACCTCTGTTACCTGCTAGGCCTGGAGGAATGCAGCTTGCACACCTGCACTAGCAGCTCAGGAGGGCCAAGATTTTGGATGAAAACCATGGGCCCCTTTCAGTGGTGCAGAGGGGTGGAGGTCTCAGGTCGAGGAGATGGCGCTCAGGAAGCATCCTTGAGTTCTAGTCTGAACCAAAGCCCTGGCTACCGTATCAGCCCACAGGAGAATTGACCCGGGCAGGCTTCCCGGAAGCAGGGACTGCCTCCTTATGTTGGTCTCTCTGGCCCCCAGACAAGAGCAGTGGACATCTTCTCTGCTGGCTGTGTGTTCTACTATGTGCTTTCTGGCGGCAGCCACCCGTTTGGAGAAAGTCTTTATCGCCAGGCAAACATCCTTGCAGGGACTCCCAGCCTGACTCACCTGGAGGAAGAGGCCCATGGTGAGAGGGGACAGGGCCTGGCAGAGAAGGGAGGAAGCAGGGCATGGGGCTCAGCGGGCCTGAAGCCATCCCTCCCGTTTGCCCCTACAGACAAGGTGGTTGCCAGGAACCTGGTGGAAGCCATGCTGAGCCCCCTGCCGCAGGCCCGCCCCTCGGCTCACCAGGTGCTAGCCCACCCCTTCTTCTGGAGCAGAGCAAAGCAGCTCCAGTTCTTCCAGGTCAGAGGAAAATCTTGGGGATGGCCCTAAATAAGTCCCAAGTTTGGGCGCCGAGTAATAAGGGGAAGCCAGAGTGGCTGGGGAGAGACTTGTCTCTCTGTTCCAGAAAGCCCAGCTCCTTCTCTGAACCAAGCTCTGGCCTAGACGCCTAGACATTGCCGGGCTGGCCCTCCACGTTCTGCTCACTACCAGATTTCCCAGCCCCAGCCTCCACCCCGCCCCCACCCCACCCCCGGGTGACACACGCCCCATGCCATTCAACCCTAGTTGTCGCTTCATGTTACAACGGTGCCCAGATAGCCCATCCCACTTGTGTGACCTTGAGCAAGGGACTTGGTGCCTCTGAGTCTGTTTGCTCATCTGTAAAATGGGGACAACAGTACTTACCTCACAGGTTGATGAAGACCTGGCAGGTAACGTGGAGACATGGCACTGGGAAGCTGTACTTGGGGGGCAACAATCCTTGTCCTAAACCAAGAAGCTTTTGCCGTTTGGCTCCCCCAAGCCATACGGCACTTCTGGGCCTTGTGGCCTCTGAAACTGCTCATGAGGCTCAAGAGCTCTGTGGGGTCCTAGGACGTCAGTGACTGGCTGGAGAAGGAGTCTGAGCAAGGGCCCCTGGTGACAGCGCTGGAGGCGGGGGGCTCCGCGGTGGTCCGGGGCGACTGGCACAAGCACATCTCTGTGCCGCTGCAGACAGGTAGAGGCCAGCCTTGGGGTGGGTCCGCCGGATGGAGGGGAATCCAGCAGAGGCAGCCTTGCCAAGGAGTTTCTTGCCCACAGATCTGAGACGGTTCCGGACGTATAAGGGGACGTCAGTTCGAGACCTGCTCCGTGCTATGAGGAACAAGGTGTGCCCTAGGGTTTGCACGGGGCCTGGATCACGGGGCAGCCCGGTCACGGGGCAGCCCGGTCACGGCTTGAGCGGGGGCTCTCTCTCTACCTCCCTCCAGAAACACCACTACAGGGAGCTCCCGATGGAAGTCCGGCAGGTGCTCGGCCACGTCCCCGACAGCTTCGTCCAGTACTTCACAGCCCGCTTCCCGCGACTGCTGGTCCACACACACGGCGCCATGAGGCACTGTGCTTCCGAGAGCCTCTTCCTGCCCTACTACCCGCCAGCCTCCAGGGCCAGGGAGCCATGCCCAGCCGGGAGCTGAGGCCACCAGCCAAGGGGTGGGCCCGTGGCTGAGGCCGGCCTCAACGACAGAAAAGACTGGCCAAGTCTCGGCAGCCTGGGGCTTCTGGAGCAAAGACGCACCCAGAGCCCAGAAGCCAGGCACCCTCAGGGACTACAGAAGAAATAGAAGATTCACATGTGTTTAATGTATATAAAGGCAAGGAAAGGGCAGTCCCGGATTCAAGAGCGGTATTCTGTACAATGCATATGGTGGGGCTGAGGGGGAAGGGCAAGAGACCGTAGAACCCACACCCGAACATGTACAAAAATAACTTAACACGGCGACCCCCACCAGCAAGGATGTGGAGCTCTCCCCAGCCCCCAGGGCCGGGGACACATTCTAGAAAACGGCACGAGGGTTGCTAACCAGTGCGGGCCAAGGTGCTGTGGGGGTGAGAAGGGGTGCCAGTCCGGAGGGGAGGAAGGCCTACGAGGAGGCCTTGAGACGGTTGGCAGCCGAGCGGGAGCTCAGCAGCTTGTCCACCATGGTGCGGGCGTAGCGGAGCCGGCTGGCCAGCTCCTTGGAGCAACCGTACTCCTCCAGCAGGCTCAGGCGGTACGTGCGGAAGTCCCGCCTCTCGTCGATGTAGGTCACGGCTGCCATCAGCGGGCACAGGATGAGTTTGGTATGGTCCTAGGAGGGAAGCGGGGGGAAGACGGACAGAGTTACCATTGGTCTGAAGGTCCCAGCTGCTAGTGCATGCCGGGGAGCAGAGAGGAGACACTGCAGCTGACGAGGGGTTCCCGTCCCACCTTGCCTCACGCTCTTCCTACTGCCTGATGCCAAGCACAGGTCCCACGCCTCCCACTCCCCACCCCACTCCAGGGGCCTGCAGATGGGTACAGGTACCCCACCCCGGTTCACCTGGAAGAAGTTGATCTGCACACAGCCATTGCTGAGATGCAGGATGATGGCACTGCGGGTGCGAAACCAGGTGCGCAGGTAGGGTAGCCGGGCGAGCTCATCGCCTTCCCGGGGTGTGATGTTGGCACCCGCCTTCAGCAAGTGTTCACTCATGTAGTTCCGGAAATACTTCAGGAGAGTGATCTGGATGGAAAGGGAGGGAGGGAGGCCAGAGTTGGAGCCGGGCCCCCGGCACATGCCTCCCTCCCGGCAACACCAGGCTGCGGCCACCAGCCGGCGCTCACCTTCTTCATGAGGGAGTTGGGATGGGAGCTCACGGTGAGGTAGGACTCTGTGCCATCGCGCTCTATGTACTGCAGGCTGTCGCCGTCATTGTAGAGGATCAGGCGTGTTGAGTCATTGAAGAGCACCCCCACGCTGTTGTCGCATAGCTGGTACCCTGGTAGGTGGAGGAAGACCTCAGGAAGGGGGAGAAGGGAGCAGGGGGGCACTGGGAGCTGGAAGTAAGAGGCCTGGGAGGGAGACAGGAGATTGTTGGCAGCAGAGGACCAAGGAGCCAAAAAAAGTAAGAGCCTGGAATGGCTCAAAGGGTCACTGGGCCGTACCTGAGCCACCACCCATTCTGGAAGCAACCTACCGAGGCCATACTTGTCCGAATAGTCCACCCACTTGCTGACCCAGAAGATGGGGATGCAGGCGGGATCCTCAGCCTCCTCTGCGACAGAAACAGACAGATGGTTGGTCAGCACCAGAGTCTTCCCCTCCGGTCCACTCAGGTGGCCCACGCCAGGGAGGACTGCTGGGCACCCCACCCAGGCTCCGTCAAGAGGCCTGGGGCCCCAGGGAAGAGCCAAGCAGGGCCTGTGCCACCACCAAGCCCTGGCAAGCAGCAGGACAGACAAATTCCAGTTCATTCAGTCCATCCACTGATCAAAGGCCCACCTCGTGCCAGGCACTGTCACAGGTGCAGTGAGCGATGGCATAAAACCCAGCCTTCATGGAACTTACATCCTCGTTATAGGGACAGAGGCTGATCAACATAAATATGGACAAGATGTTATTTCTCTCATGGTGAGAGTCAGTGGCCGATGGATTATCTAATTTTTTGGTTCTGAGTGATTAAGAAATTGTCAGAATATATACAATTCCAAATACATCAAAATGTTATGTTCAGGGGCGCCTGCTCTGTCCGTTAAGTGTCTGACTACGGCTCAGGTCATGATCTCAGGTTCATGGTATCAAGCCCCGTGTAGGGCTCAGCTGGGAGCCTGCTTCTCCCTCTCCCCTCGCTTGTGCTCTCTCTCAAATAAATAAAATCTTAAAAAAAAATGTTGTGTTCAGTGCATGTGATAATCCCTTATTTAAATACAGGGGGGTGAGAAGTGCTAGGAGTGGGGGGCCAGGGAAATGCTCATGGGGCAGACATCTGAAGGAGGAGAGTGTGAGCCCTGCACATTATCTGGAGGAAGTACATTCCAGAAGAAGGGAACAGTATGAGCAAGAGCCCTGAGGCTCTTGAAGACTAAGCAGGAACCCACCGAACAGCAGAAAGAGCATGTGCAGATGTATAAGGTGGCTCACGGAGGTGCTGGGTGATGGGGCACCGGGGGAGGCAGAACACATGAGTCAGAAAAAGACAGGCAGGGCCTTGAATGCCAGGCTAACCCATTTGGATTTTAATCTATAGAAAACCGGGAACTAACGGTATTCTGGAGACTGGGCCTGGACGAGCCCCGGACACACTGCAGCGGAGACTTCCCCGCCCTCTCCAGGTGCGCAGGCAACCCCATCCCCAGGCCCCTACCATGCCCACCTTGCCTCACCAGCCCCCGCTCTGAGGGCTTGGATGCATTGACGCTGTGTAGCTGCTGCAGCATGTCGCCCAGGTGGCAGTCAACCGCCTCACTGGTCTCCCGGACCACTGGCTCCTCTTTTTCCCGGGGCCGCTCGGGCATGGGGTTCTCTGTGCCTAGGAAGAAGATGACGCACGGTCACTAGCTGGGCACAAAGGCAGCAGGCTGGGAGGGGCACGGGACCCTCTGCCACAGCTGCTACTCTCCCCAGAGAAAAATTATTTTAGCTGCCATTGCTTTGGGTAAACTGAGTCAGTGATGGGTATAGAGCGGCAGCTGCCACACTCATGTGACAGCAGCATGATACTCATACCTCCAGGGCCAAGCCAAGCCCTTAAGGAAGGCTTCATGGCCACATACACCAAAGAGCTTCAGATGCTCTGGCCTCTGCCCCAATCCTGGGCCTCCTGCAGGACACCACCAGTCACTCCGGGAGACAGTGTGAAGGCACCACCAGCTCGGAGCTGCCTGGCCAAGAATTAAAATCCAGGAAAATGGGAGGGCTCGGTAAATTGTACACAGCTCATCAACAAAATGGATTAAGCAGGCATTTGATGAAAACATGAGATTTCTTTTTTCTACCCCCAAGTTTTATATAGATGGCCGAAGTGTCTGAAAAGATACACTTTGAGATTTTTCTCATTGGTTATATTTGGGTTAGAAAAGCCTGGATGATTTTTATTATCTTTATGCTCTAATGTTTCTTTCCCCACCAACATGTGCTAGTTCTCCTTGTAGAATATGAAATTTGTCTTCTAATATTTTTAAGATCAGAGTTTTCAATTTAAAAAACTATCCTGTGGTAAGAACTGAAATGTGAAATAATAAGATATTTGCTCCATGTAGGGCATTTGCTTTAAAAACTCTAACAAAGGAGAGCGCCTGGGTGGCTCAGTTGGTTAAGTGTCTGCCTTTGGCTCAGGTCATAATCTCAGGGTCCTAGGATGGAGCCCCACATCAGGCTCCCAGGGAGCCTCCTTCTTCCTCTACCTGTACTCTCTCTGTCAAATAAGCAAATAAAATCTTTCAAAAAAGAAAAAACAAAAAACCTCTAGCAAAGGGGCACCTAGGTGGTTCAGTCATTAAGCATCTGCCTTCAACTCAGGTCGTGATCCCGGGGTCCTGGGATCAAGCCCCATGTTGGGGTCCCTGCTCAATGAAGAATGCTTCTCCCTCTCCCTCTGCCCCTCCCCCGTTCTCTCGCTCAAATAAATATATATATAAAATCTTTAAAAAAAACAAAACTCTAGCAAGGGGGCGCCTGGGTGGCTCAGCTGGCTGGGCAACCAACTCTTGATTTTGGCTCAGGTCAGGACTCGGGGTAGTGAGATCAAGCCTCATGTGGGGCTCCCCACTCAGAGGGGCATCTTGCTTGGGATTCTCTCTCTCTCTGCCCAACCCCCTCGCTTGCAGGCTCTCTCTCTCTTAAATAAATACGTAATCTTAACAAAAAAAAAAGAAGAAGCCACCAAAAAACCAACTCTAGCTGGGGACCTAGGTGGCTCAATCGGTTAAGCATCTGACTCTTGATTTCGGCTCAGGTCATGATCTCAGGGTCATGATATCGAGCCCCCTGGGACACCTGGGTGGCTCAGCGGGTGAAGCATCTGCCTTCGGCTCAGGTCATGATGCCAGGGTCCTGGGATCGAGTCCTGTGTCGGGGTCTCTGCTCAGGGGGGAGCCTGCTTCTCTCTCTACCACTCCCCCTCGCTTGTGTTTTCTCTCTTTCACTCTCTCTCAAATAAATACATAAAATACTAAAAAAAGAAAAAAAAAGAGATCGAGCCCCATGTCAGGCTCTGCATTGGGCGTGGAGTCTGCTTAGGATTCTCTCTCTCCCTCTGCCTACCCTCTCCCCCACTCTCCACGTGTGCTCTCTCTAAAAAAATTAAATAAATAAAAATAAAAACTCTAGCAAAAAAAGGGGAGAAGGTAGAAATGGATAAAACCAGGTACAGGCAGGCAAATGTTGCTAACTACTGAAAATGGATGATGAATACATGGGGATTCCTCATACAGTTAGTTCTCTCTACTTTTGGGGAAGTTTGAAAATTTCCAGCATATGGGGCGCCTGGGTGGCTCAGTTGTTAAGTGTCTGCCTTCGGCTCAGGTCGTGATCCCAGGGTCCTGGGGTCGAGCCCCGCATCAGGCTCCCTGCTCAGCGGGAAGCCTGCTTCTCCCTCACCCACTCCCTCTCCTTGTGTTCTTGCCATGTCTCTCTCTGTCAAATAAATAAAATAAAATCTTTTAAAAAAAGAAAATTTCCAGCATAAGAAGTTTAAAAAAAAAAAAGCTTTATGTTCAAAAATTCAAAAAGAAAAATAATCTTGGGGCGCCTGGGTGGCTCAGTCATTAAGCATCTGCCTTCGGCTCAGGTCGTGATCCCAGGGTCCTGGGGTCGAGCCCCGTATAGGGCTCCCTGCTCAGCGGGAAGCCTGCTTCTCCCTCTCCCACTCCCCCTTGCCTGTGTTCCCTTGCTCGCTGTGTTTCTCTCTGTCAAATAAATAAATGAAATCTTTAAAAAATAATAATAATCTTTAAAATAGCAATATTTTATACATTACAGGCCAAAGAATAAAACCATGAGTACATGTTGATGTAAGTAACCAAATAAATACATGAGAGAGAAGCGACAGCTCTTTCTTACAGAAGAATTCCAATGAATTACTTTAAGAGTGGGGAAGACAGAGGAATCTCCATTAGAATAACATATTAGCAACTGCCTTAGGGAGATCCACCAAGGATGCAAGAGTCTGAGGAGAAACAGGATTGTCTTAAAGTCACTCCAGCAAGGTATTTATTAATTACAAAGGGAAAAATTGTAATTCTGCAGCAGGCATCACCCTAGCCAACTGATCAAGATTAATATTACCAATTAAAAGAAACGGCAAAAAAAAACAAACAAACCCAAAAAAGGAATCCTTAACAGTATTAATTACAAAAAAAAGGGGCGCCTGGGTAGCTCAGCTGTTAAGCATCTGCCTTCGGCTCAGGTCATGATCCCAGGGTCCTGGGATCAAGCCCTATCGGGCTCCCTGCTCCGCGGGAAGGCTGCTTCTCCCTCTCCCACTCTCCCTGGCTTGTGTTCCGGCTCTCGCTAACTCTCTGTCAAATAAATAAATAAAATCTTTAAAAAAAAGCAAACAAAAAACAAAAAAACACCCAAAACCAAACCCCTCCCAAAACCAACAAAACAAAACCTCCCAAAACCAAAAAAACCCCCAAAACCAAAAAAAAACAGTATTAGATTACAACAGAAACAAATGAATTTATATATTAAATTGGTGCTATATCCACACAGAGGAAAAAAAGTATTTCTAACGACCTTTTTAAAAACACTAAATATCCTTAGTGAAACATTCTAAGGACAAATGGAATTTGAATAAGCTAAAACATCATTAAAAAAAAATAGTAAGAGGAACTAGTTTATAGATGTTGAAAAATGTATGTATATAATAGTGTAAGGAAACAAGATTGTCAGTTGAAATACAAGAATAAAATCAAAGAAGTAAAAATCATATAAAACTGTATTTGAACTGGACACCTGTAAATTACAAAAAGTAGTAACTCCAGAGTAGACAAAACAATATTGTACCAGTGTTAAATTTCCTGAACTTGCTCACTGTGTCATGTGCTGTGGTTATGTGAAAGAATCTTTGTCTTTAGGAAAAATACACTGAAGTATTAAGTGGTCAAGGGCAGGATGTATACAACTTACTTTTAAGTGGTTCAGGAAAAAAAGTGGGTGTATATATACACACACGCACATAAACACACATATATAACTTTATATACACTAAAAAGAGAAAGATGACGTGTAGATAAATACTAACTGGTGGAGAAAAGGGAGCTTTTGTTATTCTTCCACCTTTTCATAATCTGACTGTTAAATGTGGGGGGGGGGGCCCACTGCATTATGCCCTACATATATATTTGAAATTTTTCATATTTTTTTTCAATGAACCATCAAAGTGTGATGTTAGGAATTTTTTAAGTGCTAAGCGTTTTTTGGGCGTGGCATTCAGTCCACTCTCCTTTTTCTGGACAGGACAGGTATGATCCAGCCAGGGTTAAAGTGTGTCTTTCCCACTAGGGCCCACCCGGGGGAAGGGCAGTTTGCTTTGGGGGGTGGTGGGGGCTGTGGATTCAAGGACGGGCAGGTCCTACTGCACGCCTGGGCTCTGGGGGCCACCCACCCACACATCTGAAGCCTAGGCTCTCTCTGGGGGTCTACTGTTTTACCTTTATTGAGGACTGTGAGAGGCTTCCGGCTGCTGGGGTCCAGACTGCTGGGAGCGATGGAAAATCGGGGTGCAATGGTGAGACAGGTGATGGGGAGCCGGGCGGGGATGTAGCCAGAGGTAAAGAACTCGTCATTGAGCAGCTCATGAATAGTGGGACGGGCAGTAGGATCTGTCTGAAGCATCTTCTGGATGAGGGAGGCGGCCACAGGGTTGATGTGCTGGAGCAGAGAGGGAGGGCCATGAGTGGGACATGACGGGGGACCCGAGGGCAGTGCTGTCATAAAGACACCACAGCCCCTGGCCCACATAAGCCATGTTCAGTGGCCACAAATCTGCCAGGTTCCCCATATTGGCTTTACTGAGTTGGCAAATGTCAACCTAAGCTGTGAGAATGATCACTTCTCCTTCCTTTTGAGACTCAAGATTCACTGGGTTTCCCCTGAATTTGTTCTCGAGTAACTTAAGTTGCTCACCACTAGGTAGCACTTGAGAACACAGGCTGGGGGGGTCATAAAGACCTGGTTAAGTCCCAGTACTGTCCCTAATAGCAGCTGTGGCAAGGGACCCGACTTGCTCAGTACTTCGTTTCGTCCTCTGGAAAGCAAGACACAGCACCAAGCCTGGAGTCCTACTAGGATTCGATGGGGGACAACCTAGCCCAGGTCAAAGGCATAGTCACAGGCTAGCATTAGCCGCGCACTTACTACGTGCCAGCAGCGTTGCAAGCACGTCATGTGTATTAACTCACCGACCCTTCACAAAAACATCTAAGGGGTGGAGTCTCTATTAGCATCTCTCTTTTGCAGAGGAAGAAATGGAGCCCAGAGAGGTTAAGTGCCCTTCCTAAAAACACATACCTAATGAGTGGTGAAGCCAGCATCCACACCAAAGCACTGGGGTGGTCTCGCGCTCCCACTCTGAACCCTCCAGGGTCTGCCCGTCTGACAGTTAAATGACCCTTTGTGACAGATTTTGTCTGTCTGTCCTTATGGAGACAGGGCCCTTGACTTCACAGGAGTCAAAGATACCAAACCGGAAAGCAGCCACATGTCGGGCTTCTGCAGAAACAGCCTGTTCCTTTCCAATGCACTGACGCCAGTGGTTGTGAAAATGCGCACCACTTTGGATTCACGGTGGTTCAGGATTCTGTGAGTGCTTACTGTATACAAGGCACCCCGTGAGCTGCTCCCTTTTATAAATGGGAAACTAGAGTTCAAGAGATTCAGGCCGCTTGCCCACTGTGATCTGGCTGCTACGTGGCAGAGCCCAGTTAAATCAAGAAGGTCCATTTCCAGAGGTTAAGCAGCACTTCTGTGTCTGCCTCCCTACTCCCTCCCCATTTTTTTTTCTCTTTCCACATCTTTTGGGTTATCTACCCAACCTCTGGGGATCTACAAACTCTTCCCCCTTAGAAAAAATGCCTCTGTGCATACATGTCAAGCTCTGTTTGTAATATCAGACACAGATCCATCGAAGCTCTGTGGGTACCCTAGGGGTAGGGTTGACCTATCTCTGTCCCCAGGATATGGCTGGGCTCAGTAAACAGCTTTTGGGGAAAAATAACCCCAAAAAACAAAATAAATTTAAACTTAAAAAAAAAAAAAGTGTTTTAGTCACCTTGGGAATACTGTAGTCGTTCTTCTTGATCCGGAGGTAGGTCTCTTTGAGGCAAGAGGTCTCAAAAGGTGGTTTGCCCACTAACAATGTATACCTGTAAGCACAAGGGGGCTGATTTGGCTCGAGGCTCCCAGCCAAAACCTACCTGCCAGAGAAATCATCTCAGGGCTGGCATCTGGAAACTCTGACTTTGGGGCCCCCAAGGATAGTCCTCAAGTCCACAGGAGCCAGGACATGGGTGGGGCTGAGCCCTCAGGAGAAGATAGGCGACAGCACCAGGACTCTTAAGACTAGCAGTGACTTTCTAGCTGAAGCCTATAGGAATCCAGGGCCCCAAAGGCTGCTGGCTAGTACAAAACAGGTCCCAGTGCATGGGCTACCTGCCCCTATCGAGGCAGCTCCACTTTGACAGTTCTGCACTCAAGGCATGAAGTTTTCATTTGAAAAAGCTCTACTGCAAAGAAGTACGGAAGCCACTGCTACAACTCACTTCTCCTCCTACCGGTACCCTGGCAAACAACAATAAAAAAGAACACCCAAAAACGCCCAACTCTCTCTCTGCCCACCACCCACCCACCTCGGGAGGCCTTGATCCAGACTTTATTGTGCCTGGAAATCACCCAGGGATCTTAAAATCCAGATTCTGAGCCAGTGAGATTCTGCATTTCTAACAAGTTCCTGGGTGATGCTGCAGCCCTTTGCACCACACTTTGAGTAGCCAGGGCCTAGAGCAGGTTTGTGGAGGCCTCCCAGCCCCCTTCCCCAGTGCCATAGCCCAGGCTGCTGCAGGAATCCCATAGGATACACCAGTGACAAGAAAAGATATGGAAATCAGGCTTTGGTTTTGGGCAATCTGTTCTCTGGAGCAGCCTCTTCATAGCCAGAAAGGTCCAAAGGATAAAGTCAGCCAGGTGAGACATCCAAAAGGGCAGGTACATCCTGAGACAACTCCCAACTTACATGATACACCCAATGGACCACACATCCACCTCGAAACTGTGCCCTTTCTTGCTCAGCACCTCAGGAGCTATGTAATTAGGAGTCCCACACAGGGTCTTCTTGCGTTCCCCATCATATTCCACTTTGGTTGCCAGTCCAAAATCCCCTGGGACAGAGGGAGGAAGAGGGGGTACTCAGTTGCTAGCCTCTGTCATCTGCCAATGGAGAAAGCTGGTACAGGTGTGACTGTCAAGAACCAGGGTCATTTCCTCCCTTGGGTCCCTACTCCTTGTAGGCAGCAAGGCTTGCCCAAGATGCCTCCCACCATGTTGGCCCAGGGGAGGGACCTCCCAGGGCCCCTCCTTGCCCCTTCCCTTAGAAAGGAGGGCCCTCAGGGATCAACAAGTAAAGGTCAGGACCCCTATTTGGCAAGTTTGTGAGTTAATAACAGGGAGAAGTGGAGACTATGGAAAATCCAAGGGAGCCTAAGGGGAACAGCTGCTTTTCAGCCCTGCAAAGAGTTGCCTGAGGGGATACTGTCTCAGAACTGCGGAAACTTCCAACTGTTTAAAAGGAGTTCCAAATCCTAATTTTTATGTCAAGCATCCCAATTTATATCTGTGAAAACTAATTCAAATTCTTTTTTTAAAAAAAGTACTGTGTGGAAGCACTAAAAAATGCATCTGCAGCATACAGGCTTGGGGCTCTTGGTTTTAAATTTCTGTACGAAAGAGAGGATTCTAGAGGCCATCAATAGCCCAGACTTCTACCATCCTTTTCCTCCCTCCCTTGTTTCCTTCCTATTTCCTCCTCCTCATTCCCGCTTCTGGGGGTGTCAAGCACCCCTGCAGGCCCAGCACTCACCTATTTTCACCTCCAGATCCTCATTCAGGAAAAGGTTGCCCAGCTTGAGGTCCCGGTGAATAACCCGGTTTCGGTGCAGGTACTGGCAGCCAAGGACAATTTGCCGAAGGTAGTAGCGGGCTTCCGGCTCGGTCAGTGCTTTCCTCCGCTTGTGCAGCTCCAGGAGAGACTGAGTGGGGGAAGGAGAGGAGGAATGGGGAGCCGGTACCGAGGCACAGGGGGAAGGGCTTGTCATTAAAGGCAGCCCAGGGCGCCCCACCCCACTCCTTCTCCAGGACAGCTGCGAGCCTGGCCACTACCGTTCATGGCACCCCTTCTCCCACTAGCTGCCTCCCAAGCCTCCTACCTGGGATGCCTCTTTCAGCCCCACTCCGGGCAGCTCCGAGTCCACAGCATCCCGCCCCCGGCCTTCGCGCAGCAGGAGATCCCTTTCCAGCCGCCTCTCCTTCCGGAAGCTGCGAAGTCTGGCTCCAACCACCCTCTCCCCGACCCAACCCTACTCCGGAAGCTCCCGAACCGCAGCACCCCTTCCCCAGGACTCCTCCCTTAGCAACTCCGGAAGCCCTTGCGTCCAGTACCAGGATTCTCCTCCTACCCGCGCGCCTCCCCCTCTCCGCTCAACACCTAGCGTCCAGGAGCCGCCTTCCCTAGCAGCAACAGGACTCGGGCTCCACTTAACCGGAACTCCCTCCCCCTAGCAGCTCCAAGTGCCAAGCACCCTCTCCCCTCTCCTCGAGACCTTTACAACCCCTAGTTCGAGGTTCCCAGCACCTCCTCTCTAGCAGCTCCGAGCCCCCCCAACCCCGGTCCCCAGGCAGCGACACTCACCCTCCGGCGGCAGAGCTCCAACACCACGAATACGAAGTCGCTGTCCTCGAAAAAGCCGTGGAAGCCTACGATGTGCTGGTGGGCGAGGCTGCGGTGAATGGATATCTCCATGGACATCTTCTCCTTCTGGTGCGGCTTGAGCAGCAGCGATTTAGGCACGATCTTGCCAGCGAACACCTCCTTAGTGTCAGCGTCCGAGATCTCGAAGCACTTAGCAAAGCCGCCCTTCCCCAGAAAGCGTCCCCGCAGGTAGCGTCGCCGGCTGCGCGGGTCCACTAGGACCTCCGGGATCTCTTTCGCCGGCGGAGCGGCTGCCGGGGCCCCGGGAGCTGCAACTCCGGGGCCCCCGGCTTTCCCTGGGTCGGCTGGTGCCCGCGCCAGCTTCCCTACAGTTGCCGCCGCACTCATGTTCCCGGAGTTGCTCCGCGGACCTAGCAGGGTCTGAGCAGAGGTTTGGCACCGCTTCGCTCCTCCTCGAATTCAAACGCGGCGCCGGGAACGTTACAAGAGCCTGCGCGCCACTGATTGGCCGCGGGGATTTAAAATCCAAACCCGCCCGCCGCGCGGCACGATGGGAGCGCTCGGCACCGCCGCCTCCTTTAAACCCGTACCCTGTCCTGGGCCGGGGGAGACTTGATTGACAGGGACTCGCGCACAGCAGACACGTGGGATGCCTGGGAAACCGTACCCGGCGTGGGGATGCCGAGACCCGGCCCAAGGAGAGGGGGGAGTTCAGGGTTTCCCCCTTTCTCCGCGGCCGGGGAAGTTCCTGCAGTTCCCATGCACCTCCTCCAGGAAGCTTTTCCTAATACCTTCCTCCATCCCCACCCCCACCCCGCCTTCTAGACTATAAACTCTTGAGAATAGAGACCTGGCAGGGCAGCTTTAGGCAGCCGCCTCCGATGTCCTCAGCTCTCTTCCGAGATACCCCAGTAAGCTAAAACCCAAGTAAAAACACGGAGCTTGCCAGGCAGATGCACTTTCATGGCAAGGCCCCTACTTTCAGAATAACAGCTGCTCCTAAGCCCCTCCGGAATATACAGCAAACTCCATTCAAAGCACATATGGTTCAGGGACCACCAGCATTACCATCACCTGGGAACTTGTTAGAAAGAAAATTTCAGGCCTTACCCCAGACCTCCTGATTCAGGAATCTGCCTTTCAATGTGACTGCCAGGTGATTCCCACACATACTGCTGTTTGAGGCTCACAGTACCAGGCCCCCCCCCCACTATTCAAGAAAGTTGTCTGTCCGGCTTGCTCACTGCTGTATTTCCCAGGGTCTAAAAGAGTGGACCCCCAAGTCACTGGTGAGAGGAAGGATGGCTGGTTGGCAGAATGCCCAGCAAACTGGTAGGCCACAGCCAAACACCTTGCACGGGTGTATTTTGTTTGGCCTCCCACTTCTGAAAATTTGGATTCCTTTACAGCACTTAAAAATCAAGAGAGCTTAAATAAAACTTCAGCTTGGTGTTTTTTCCTAACAAACAAAAACTAGAAGGTTCCACAACTCTATGCCACATACTTTCCCAGTTTGCGATAGTTCCCAGCTATCTCCCTAAGCCCATTTGCCTGATTTCCCAAAGTACGTGAGTGGCAGACCTAGAACAGCAAAATGCCCGAGTTAGAAGCCCTTTCTCTGTTCCCCCCTGTACCCTATGATGTCTCGGATAGAGCCCAGCAAGTATCAACCATATGGTAAGTATCCCTTCACCTGCCTCCTGATAAACTGAGAGGTGATGATGTCTTTCCTAGCCCATGTCCCAAGCTCCCAGAGCAATGCCTAGTAAAAAGGAGTAACTGAAATGTTTGCTGAATAAAAGGAAGTTTTTTTTTTAAATTAACTTGCTATTATTTTTTATCCTTGTGGTGTGTAATCTTCCTATTGAAGTTTAAGATACGTAGAGAAAATGTTTACATAACTGTACAGCTCAATGAATTTTCATAACTTGAACCCACCTCACATAAACAACACCCAAATTGAGGAAAAGAACACTACCAACACCCCAAAAGTCCCCCATGTGCCCTGTCTTGGGAGTCCCCAAAACTACTCCGCAGTTTGACAACTTGTTAGGAGACTCACAGGACTCAGCATATAGTCTTACTGTCAGCAGGCTATAATTTATTACAGCGACAGGCTACCAAGCAAAATCAGCAAAGGGAAAAGGTGCATAGAACAAAGTGCAGAGGAAACCAGACACAGGCTTCTCAGAGCCCTCTCCCAGTGGAGTTACACATGACACAATTCCTCCAGCAGTGGGTTATGATAACAAGCGTGAAATGTTATTTGCCAGGGAAGCTCCTTAGAGACTCAGCATCCAGGGCTTTTACTGGGGGCCGGTCAAGTAGGCACCCTCTGCCTAGCACATACCCAAATTCTGGATTCCTGGAAGGAAAGCAGGTATTCAGCATAAACCATATTGTTTGCACAGTTTAGGCAGAGTGAGCCGCTCTTATCATTTAGGGAATGTTGAGAATCCTCCCGAAATCCAATTACCCAGATGTCAGCCAAGAGTCAGCATTGCAAACAAGGACAGCAGTCTCAGGCCTACTCTGTTAACTCTCTTCTGCACTGGCCCCCACCTTGGCCGTTGGCTCAGGCTTCTATACAGCAAGTTTATTATCAGTAGGACCCCATGCAAAAGGATGAGACCAACCTGCAGTACTGATCTCAGTTATGCTCCTTAGAGGTCCTACATTTAGCCAGTTAAAATAAATCCCAATAACCCATAATAATCCCATTAAAATAATCTAATATTTTAGATATGGTATATGTCAACTATACCTCAATTAAATAAAAACAACAGTCTATCTTAGAAAGTCAAGTGGCTCCCTCACTAAACTTCTGTATGATTCATTTTTACCTGGCCCGAGATACCAATTCAGGTACAGCAAGGCTGTGGCCAGCAAGTTCAAGCTGATCTGAAGCCTTCCAGGGCTAAGGCAGTGTGGCGAGAGGGCACAGAGACAGAAGTAGACTCCCAGAGGGTACATGGTCCCCCTGGAAACGAGTTTGCAATGTTAGGGTACCTCAAGCAGGGCATATGTTAGGTGGTGGAGGTTAACAGGACCCCCAATGTTAGCCTCCTGCCACGTGGCCTCCTGCCCTGGAGTTTCCAATTCAGTCTGAAAGATCCAACCAGCCCTTGGTTCTGCTTGTCTATGATACAGGTGTATGCATCTCGTGAGTGTGCGTTCTGTGTGGGAAGTGCAGGAGCCCAGCCCCTCTGTTGTCAGGCAGTGCTGCGAGCTGTAAGCACAGGCTCAGCAGTCTGAGCTCAAAGCGCTCCAGTGCATGGAAAGGCAGCTCTGGAGTCTTCTGTCAGGAAGAGCAGAAAGCTTCCTGATAGAGTTCTGAAGAACCAAGGTCATAAATGCCCCCCACCCACTTGCCAAAGGCTCCCCAGGTGCCAGTACTTTTCTCCACTGTTACAAAATCTTCGGGCCCCGACGTTCAGCAACCCAACAACATTCTTTCAATCACCTCTTCTCCTCCAGGCCTTTTATCTGCAAGGGCTGTATGCAGAAGGCACAAATGCATTTTTGCAGGTAAACATTTTTATCTCACTTAACCAGAAAGACAAATTCGGGAATTGGTCAGGATGTAGGTTGAACTGTATCCCTAACCGCCCCCCCACCATTCCTGTGCTGAAACCCTCACCCCCAGTACCTCAGAATGTGACTATATTGGGAGACAGGGCTTTCAAAGAGGTGATTCAATTAAAATGGACTCACTAGGGTGGGCCCTCACCTGATCTGACTGGTGTCCTTGTAAGAAGAGAAGATGAGGACACAAGACCGAGAGGCGACTACGGCAGAACACATGGGAGGGTGGCCACCTGCAAGCCAAGAAGAGACGACTCAAGAGAAATCAAACCTGCTGACACGTTGGTCTTGGACTTCTGGCCTCCGGAACTGTGAGAACATACATTTCTATTATTTAAGCCCCCCAGTCTAAGGCATTTTGTGATGGCAGCCCTAGCCGACTAATGAGGATGAAAGCCTGAATTTTCAAAAAATTTCAAAATGGGTTTACAGAACCTCGCACTCCTTTTATCCAGTGAACAGCCTCGATCAATCCCTCTCTGGAGACAGCTCTATTCAGATAATGAACCTTACTAAGTGTGGATGGAGGGGGGTGGAGTAAGAAGTAGAGACTATCAGCCCATTGTGGTGAGTTGCAACTAATCTAGAAAGCTGAACACAAGTCAGCAGCAGTGAGACATCCCCATCAAGAAGGCCAAAGTCTGATCTGTCAACAGCAGGGGGAGAGGTCACAGTCCCTGTGATGTGCCGTCCCCAAATGTGCAGCTGTTGGCAGGGATCACAATTAGGGTGCGGGTAGCCTCCAGGTTAGCGATGAAGAGCTGACCAGCAACTTGATCTTAGAGGGTCTCGTAAGAGAACGAGGCCTCTTCTGTGGGCGTGTGTGTGGTCTGATGGTCCAGCCAGCATCCATGATGGAGGTCTTCATCCTTTAGAGCTCCACAGAAGGGGTCCTAAATCTCCAGTGGTCGCAAGGTCTGAGTCCTTTTCATGGAGCCTGCGTCTGCTTCCAGGTCAGCATGGCTCCTGCTGGGACTGAAACAGCTCCCTGAGGCCTGTAGCAGTTCTCAGCTTCGTCACATCCAGACAAGAAGAATCAGGGGATCTGGGATTCCAAGAGAACCAGCTGCTTCTCTCTGGCTTGTTGCAGAAAGACATACTGCAGTACCAGACAGCCATGGTCCAGGTCCAAGTGATGAGCAAGGCTTCCTCTTCCTGCTGTCAGTCTTAGAGTCCGAACTGACTGGCTCAAAACCATGCGCATCAGGTTGGCCAGTCATCGGCCTCTATGCGTCAGACATTTGATTTCGACTAGGGCTCACTGGCAATTTAACTGCTTTTTCCAATTCCAAATGTGCATTGTCATCCAGAAATTGTCTCTCTTTTCATGTTGTCTCACCTTCCAGAGGTTCCAACAGACATAAATCAGCAAAATCAGTCCTGAAGACTTGTTCTGGTCCAATACTCAAAGAATTTAAACTCCAGCACACCCACTGGTAGCAAAACAGAGGAAGCTGTATCCCACCAACACCTTCTTGATTTAATTTTTTTTGCATCTCTCTTTGATTGGGATGATCCCTCTAGCATTTATGAAATGACAACTATATAACATTTTAAATCAATTTTATATTTCCAGATATAAAAGTCACAAAATGCAAAGTCATTTTTTAAAACTTCCCCTTTTTTTCTCATTGCAAATTTACTCAAACCCCTAGCAAATTCAGCACTGACAGAATTATAACCAGGCCTGAAGTGCTAACTCTTTTTTGCAGAGGTAGAAACAACCCCCTATAAGACTTTGAAACAATGGGATCAAAAGCCACTTAACACCCACTGCGTGTATATTTTATTTATTCCATCTAGGAACATTTTTTAAGAAATGATAAAGCATTGAAGAAACTTTAATTCCCTTTCGACCTTTAACAACTGTTTTCATATTCCTTTCTAGTTCTTGTCAACATGGACTTTTTTTTTTTTTTTTGAGAGAGAGAATAAGAGAGAGAGAGAGCACATGAGAGGGGGGAGGGTCAGAGGGAGAAGCAGACCCCCTGCTGAGCAAGGAGCCCGATATGGGACTCGATCCCGGGACTCCAGGATCATGACCTGAGCCGAAGGCAGTCGCTTAACCAACTGAGCCACCCAGGCGCCCGTCAACATGGACTTTTGATCAGTACAGCTGCAATTATGCCACGTTAATACCATCTATCTGCAGAGTGTCCATGAACGCTTACTGAGCCCTTACTAGATGCCGTGCGTGGGGCTAAGAGCTTTACAGAGATGATCTCCCTGAATCCTCACAAAGACCTTATTCCCATTTTGAAGATGAGGAAACGGGCACTATTGCCTCAGGTCCTGTAGGCAGGAGGTGGCAGAGCTGGAATTGCAACCCAACTCTGCTAACTCCAAAGGACCCCTCATGCTGCCTCTGGGGGCCTTGTCTGTCTCGCTAGCCACCAATCCCAGACTCATTTGTTCACTCACTCACTCCCTACCAAAAAGCAATATGATGTATATCTTAAACTCATGGACTAGAGAACCCCGGGTTCAAACACCAGTTCCTCCTCTTATTAGCTGTATGACCTTGGGCAAATTACTTAACCTCTCTGTGCCTCTACTTCCACGTCTATAAAATGGGGATAATTATAGCGCCCATCTCCTAGGATTCTATATGTGGGACGTGCCTATCTCTGAAGGTTCTTGTGAAGAGCTTCTGTGAGGACAGCACTTCAAACACACCAGGTACGTGGTCATGCCCGCTGTTGTTGTGATTATTGAAATAAAGAGAACCTGTGGCTATTCCCAGGGAGCTCAGGGTCTCCAAGAGGCCTTGCAGTTCCTGAGTCTCAGATTTCCTTATTCTCCCCTTCCTCTGGCCCTACTGCTTCCGCAGGCTCTTGCTATTCCCAAGTCAGAAAAGTGTGCCCAGCAGACACCAAAGGTTAGATGAATACAGCTGAAAAGAGGTATGTTGGTAGGGCTAAGAAAGACCAAGGCTGAATGTCCAGACCCAAGGTCTGAAAACCAGAGAGGGTGTGGACGCCATTCTCATGTCTCTTCTCTTAGATGATTTTCATATGCCTGAACCATCTGTGTGATGGCCAATGGACTTGGAGATACAGAACAAGCCATCTCTTCTCCTTAGGGAAGCAGGGACATCTTGTGCTAACTCTTCTCACTTCAGGATCTGGGTCAGAGTGCTTCATGAAAAGTAGGTGTGGCCAACCCACCAGCAAAAACTTCAGGAAAACAAAGGATTAACCGACTGGGCAGCAAGGATCCTCCTCAGAGCCAATTGCTTTGGAGGCCCAGGATATTGGGGGAACTGCATAAAACATGGACTTTGCAGCCAGATAAGACTTGGCTTTGATTCTAGCTCAGTTGTTAATTAGCTGTGTGACACTGGGCAAATTTACTTAACCTCTCTGATGATCAGTTTCCTCCTCTGTATAATGAGTTGTAAAGATCCCTACACTTTTGACAGTTGGGAGGATTAAATGTTTTCTAATAAGTGCCTGGCAAGGAAGGGTGATCTCTTCTTTGTGGTGGAGTGATTTTAAATGAACAGATGTTTTTAATTTTTTTTTTTTAAAGATTTTATTTATTTGACAGAGAGAGACATAGTGAGAGAGGGAACACAAGCAGGGGGAGTGGGAGAGAGAGAAGCAGGCTTCCCGAGGAGCAGGGAGCCCGATGCGGGG